ACTGCAGGCACAGTTTCAAGAGTTGACACAGTTGTTCTGTGGAAAGCATGGTCCTGCTGCTCAGAGTGGTGTCTGATTTTAATCTTAAACTGACCACCTCTACTGCATCATCAACAGGAATGCACGTAAAGAGTGATGTGACATCAAAAGAGACCATTGTTTCAGATATGCAGCAGCCCATCAGTTTTTTTCTAGAACTTTATTAACAACACAAAACAGAACAATACAACAAGAAACAAATATAAACTCATGAAGGGTGTCATACAGTGTTTAATATGAGCCGGATCCTGCCGGAACGAGATTTGGGAACTCTTTATTTTGACAGGGTGCGTTCCAGCAACTCTCAAGCTTACTAATGATAAAGTTATGAACAAATATGGCTGTCTTATCATTTTGGGAGCCATGCTTGAACCATGTCTCTACCTTCTGCTGCTGAGACATTAAATAAATAATTCCTCTGACACAACTGCCTCTGTTTTATGACTGGAAGCTTGTCACCACCAGCACGCATGCAACAAAGAGTATAAACTCAAAGAGAGAGCGATATCTGCCCCTCTTTTTCTCTTTCGTTTTAACAAATATTTTTAGTTTTTTAGTTTGTCAAAGCACAATTTTGATGTTTTTTTCTTTTGTAAATACAGAAGTAACGTTTAATCAATGTTAGGACACTATTCTTTGCTAACAAAATAAGACCATTTCCAAAAAAATTGAATATCATTGAAAAGTTGTTTAACTTCCATAATTCCATTCAAAAAGTTAATATTTAATAGATGATAGATTCAGGGCCCACAATTTAAACAATTTCAAGTATTTATTTGTTTATTTTTACATAATTTGGGCTTCCAGCTCATGAAATCCACAAAAACAGGAATTAAAAAAATTATAATACTGTGGAGAAATCAGCCCAAATGTTGCAGGGCATGAATGTTTTAAACTGAGTGTGACACTAATCATCTACTAAACTCAAAGCACCTGCACAGGTTTCCCCAGGTATCATTAAATTGCTTCAGTTTGGTTCAATAAGGTGAAGACTTCAGACATAACAACTGGCCAGAAGACCATCATTGATGCCCTCCATAGGATGGGTAAGCTACAAAAGTTCATAGCTAAGGAGGCTGGCTGTTCACAGAGTGCTGTGTCCAAGCATATCAATGGAAAGTCTAGTGGAAGGACAACATGTGGCAGGAGAAGATGCACCAGCAAAAGAGATGACCATGAGCTTCAGTGGATTATCAAACAGAGAAGATCCAGAATCTGTCAGAGATCCAGAAAGAGTGGAATGAGGCGGAGTCACAGCTTCAAAAACCACCACATTCAGACAAATCCAGGAGATGGACTACAACTGTCGGGTTCCTCGGCCCTCTTTTCAGATGAAAGTAAAGTGTCTTTCATTCAGAAATCAAGGTCCAACGGTTTGGAGGAAGAAGAGAGAGGAACAGAACCCATACTGGTTGAGGTCCAGTGGGAAATATTCAGTCAGGCATGATTTGGGTGCAGTGTCCGGTGCAAGTGTTGGTAAACTCTGCTTTCTTAAAACCAAGGTCACAGCAACAGTCTACCAGAATGTTTTAGAGGACTTCATGATTCCTTCTGCTGAGGATCTGTATGGAGATGCAGAGTTCATCTTCCAGCAGGACCTGGTCCCTGCCCATGCTGCCAGAAGCACCAAAACCTGGTTTGATGCCGCAGTGCTTGACTGGCCAGCCAACTCACCAGACCTAAACCCCATTGAGAATCTATGGGGTCTTCTCAAGAGGAACACGAGGAGCACCAGAGGCAACAACAAAGAAGATCTGACAGCATCAAGGAAATCTGGGCTTCCATAACTCCCAGGCAATGCTACAGACTGATTGTCTCAATGCCACATTGCATCGAGGTAGTTATTAAAACAAAGGGATTCCCAACCAAGTATTGAAGACTGACATATAGTTTTGAAATTACCATATTTTGATTGATTTGTTGTGATCCTAATTTCTCTCTTTTTTTTCTACAAAAAATGAGAAGTAGTGTGAACTGATGTCTTCCAAGCATTCTAATTTTTTGAAATCCTGTTTTCGTGGGTTTCATGAGCTGGAAGCCCAAATTATTTACAAATAAAAAAAATAAATACTTTAAATAGTTTAAATTGTGGGCCCTGAATATATCATCTATTAAAGATTAACATTCTGAATGGAATTATGGAAGTTAAACAACTTTTCCATGATATTCTAATTTTTTGGAAAGGGTCAGTATATTCACCTCCTCAGGTCTAAGCGGCTGTTTTATGATGCTCTGGACGCTTTTCACCCACACTATTCATGCAACAAAGAGTATTAACTCAAAGCCAGAGAGATAACTGCACCCTTTTTCCTCTTTCGCGTTGACAAAATGTTTTAATTTTATCGATTGTCAAAGCACAATTAAGATTTTTTTTTGTATTATATACCTGGATTATTGAGCATGGACTTTGTTGATTTTGAACCAGTTTGACATGGCTGTCGACGAGGGAGAGGGCCGGCACCGGAGAAGGGGGTGTGCTAAAGAGACCATCTTAGCGCCAACATAACTGGTTTCTTCCACTTTGGAGTAAACTGTTGGGGGAAGAATCAGCTTTGTCTTGTGTGTTAACTTGACTGATGAAGCCTTCTGGATGGAAGGTGAAACGTTTCAGCACAAAAAAAGACATTGTCCAGATGACCCGACTGAAAATTGTTGGATTGTATTTCTGCCAGATAATAATATCTGGATTATTGAGCATGGACTTTGTTGGTTTTGAACCAGTTTGATATGACAGTCGATTAAGGAGAGGGCCAGCACCGGAGGAGGGGGCGTGCCAAAGAGACTATCTTAGCACCAACATAACTGGTTTGTTCCACTTTGGAGTAAGCTGTTGGGGGAAGAATCAGCTATATCTTGTGGCTGTTTTCAAAGGAAAATAAGTAAATTATACAAATGACCAATGCATAGAAAACTGTTCGCTGTTAAGCTGTTGGGGGAAGAATCAGCTTTGTGTTGTGTGTTTCCTTGACTGATGAAGTCTTCTGGATGGAAATGTTTCAGCACAAAAATAGAAACTGTCCAAATGACCTGACTGAAAATTGTTGGACTGTATACCTGGATTATTGAACATGGACTTTGTTGATTTTTCCCCCTCCTCTCACTCTACAATTGCGATGGGTAAATTCTTCAGCAGCTCATTGTTGCTGATGATCTTGTGGCAGTACGGGCTTATTCTTCCACACCTTCTCACACCTGTTGCTATCCAGCTTTGCATCAGCTGCGCCAACATCTCCACCCCTCTCTGCACAGACATCGTGTGCAGCTGGACCACTGTGCCAATCCACCTGGGCTACACAAACCAGGTCGAAGCCGGGCCCGAGGTGAACCAATCCTACCGGCTTGTGAGCGTCCAATGCCCTACGGTTCTGAGCTCCTTGTGTCCCCTAATGTGCATGGTTCTGGAGTAGACCATCCATTCTGGACATTATGGATGGTCAAACTATGTTGGTGTATCTGAACTTGTCCGTCCATGCCAACTTCTCTTCTAATGGGTTCTAAATAACCACGTCTTCATAAACACATCTCATCATAACATGTTTATGAGGACCAAGAACTAAAATATAAACTCCAACAATTATACTACTGCCACAAAGAACTCTCGGAAATGTCTGATTGTAATGCTTTTATTGCCGGCTGGTATTCAACCCAATCCTGGTTCACTCACCTTATTTAGTACTCCAGCAGATCTTAAAATATGTCAGGTTCACACATTGTGCATATTAATGCTCATAGTCTCCTTTCTAAAATAGATATGGTGATGATTTGGGCTTCTTCTACTGGTGCTGATTGTTGTTTTTTTCTGAGTCTTGGTTAACTAAATTGATTCCAGACCAACATGTTTCAATTAAAGGTTTCAATATTTATCGTTCAGATCATCCCAGAAAAGGAGGCGGTGAAGCAATATACGTTAGAGCTAGCTTGGTAACACAACTGTGATTTACAAAACCAGTACCTAAACTATTTGAAATCTTGGCCCTAAACATTGAACTGTCTGTTGGTCAGTCGTTATCTGTTGTTAGCTGCTATAGACCCCTACCGCCACATCTAAAAGCCTGTTGTCTTTAATGCCGCTCCTATCTACTTTACATCCTAATGAAATGGTTTTGTTAGTTGACTTTAATTTAGATTGGCTCTCTCCTGTGTCTGAGGAATTTAAAGAATTTTGTTTGTCTTCAAATCTTACTACGATTCATTGATAGTCACACTCGGCCTAATCCAATGTGCCCTGCTAAATCATCTCTCCTGGATCTTATCATCACAAACATGCCACATAAATACACTGGGTTTGGAGTTTTTACAAATGATCTAAGTGACCATTGTGTAATTGCTGTTATTAGAAATACAAAAATGCATCATTTTAAACCTAGAACTACTCTAAAACGGAATATGAACACTTTCTGTGGAATCTGTTCTACTTTGACAGGC